GTACTCACATAATACAACCTCCTTCTCGCGGCGTAGTTGTGTATTACATCAACGTGATGCCTTTGTTTATTGGTTACGGTGAAAAAAAACATAAACGTCATCACTTATAAGTTTGTTTACTTTCTTTGAGAACTGCTTCGTGTTCCTTTTTTAATTTTTATGACTTTGTTGTAACAACACGATTAGAGTAGTGTAAAAATGGATAAATAGAAAAAAAACTGAACTCATTTTTACGCCAATAAAAATATAGTGGCCAAGACAAAACCTTTGAAGTGCTCAATTGATTAGGTATCATGTAATTTTGTCATATCAAATGTCAAAAATTGTCATGGGTAATTAAAAAAATTCGGGATCAAGGGTATTCCTACAAAAAATTAAAATACCCTTAGAGTAGTGAATTGTTTAACAAAAACTATAAAAATCGAAGGGCGTTAGTTATTATATAATTAAATACACAAAGACTCATGTGTATATTTTTGAGGATGGCCACCACACATCTTCAATAAAACGCAATTAATTTAACTAAAAATATTTAACGACCAACTGTATTTTAGTTTTTATATTTAAAATAACTTGAGAAATCTCATACCTAGCGGGGTGATCTCTCTCTAAAACTAGATAGCGCCTTTACTGTGATAACCAGACTGATGATAAACAAACTTGGCTAGAATACCAGCTATATTTAGTTTACTTTGGTTGTTGCAATATTGTACAACAAAGATATGACTTTAACACATGTTTAACCATGCTGCTAGGCTGTAGGTACAGTTGATAAACATTAATTCATTGATATTATACAAAAGGCCGATTTTTCCTTATTATTGATGTCGCAGTTTTGCTTTTGTGTTTATTTTGCAGTCTCTTAGTGTTATCTATTGTTATTCAATTAAGTGTATGTTATAATATATTACCTACATATATTTTGCTACGCTTCGCTGTTCGGCACATCGTGGTTGCATTGATAAGAAACGAGAAACGAAACTGACGCAAAAATAGATAAAAACAACTTTTGCAGCAGAATATCGAATCAAAATTTGAGCTCAATCGGTACAGATCTGAGTTTTAAAAGCGTACACAATACAACCACACATTTACATATACCATAGATATGCTAAAAAATCTATTAGATACACATTTTCTTACTTAAGGTCAGTACTCATTTTTCAGGTTGTTATTGAAAATAATATAATTAACTGTTAAGTCAAATCATCGGCTCATCTTTACCGTATATGTATATTTGTGTATATATATTTCTTACCCATTCAAAACGGCATAAAATATAATCGTTTAAATACATTCCGAGAAGGAAAACTGATAGAGTAAATTAGCTAGGACAAGAGGGGGACTCTCGGAGGGGGCAACGGAATAGCTCGAAGAGACTGAAGTCGCATGCCTGTGTTCTCCATCATTGGAGAAGATTCAGGATAGGAAGTGGTCTACTGAGTAACGAATTTAATTCTTCAAGGTTTTATTTAACGCTTGATTTCATGAAAAACGGCTCGGCCGGCTCAAACGGACCACCACAACTTCTCGGCTTCACTGAGTAAGTGATTCCCCTAATTCTGGGAGAAGGCAATTAAGGGGCGGCAACACATTTGTGACTCTTGAGTTGCAGTGGTTCATGGTCGGCGTAGTCACTTACCATCAGGGTCACCTTCTGCTCCTTTGCCCTCTATTCTATAGAAAAATATTTCAAACATAGTAACTGATTTTATCTGCAGCATGCCGTCACCGTTAATCTTTTAGGTCACGTCATAGAACGAGATTATGGGTAATAGACAGTGAAGCGAGTTTTCCATACACCTGTAGCCTTATTTATATAAAGACCTACGCCCACCCAGCCGACTACGGAAGAGGACACGGTTAACTTTTACCATCAGAAGCTCCCTATTTACGATATGGACTATTATACAAATAAGTCAATCAGTATATTATCTCTTTCCGTACTAATATTATCAATCGCTGTCTGTTATGCTTTCACAGTTAAACTGCTGAACCAATTTTAATGGAATTTTGCATAAAGATACATCGGTTCTTGAGGAAGGACATATGTTTTTACCGCGATAACCGATATACACGCGAGCGGAGCTACGGCCAAAAACTAGTATACAATAGTTTAATGTTGATTAATAAATAAGTCACGTGCGTAATTTATTTACTTTCTGAAGACAATAAATCAGAATAGTGTATTTTGTTACTTGTTTACAAACTTAGAATGTAACAAAATTGCTGTCAACTAAATATTTTGCGTCGAAGCGGAAATATTGAGTTACAAATTCTTCAAGTTGCTCTAATATAAGCACTATTGAAATGCTTGTAACTACGACATTTTAAGTAAAGTTTTATACGGTGTACTGTGTATACATACGTGTAATATGTCTTTAAATCACTTTATATTTATTAAAATAATGAGAACGATGCAGGAACAAATGAAGCACGGAGTAATCGTGTCGTAAGGCTAAAAAGTGATGTATAAAATGTCCCAAGTAATATTAAAGGAACAAATGTTTCACTTCTCAGACGTTGTGACAGTTTATCAACTGGCTGACTGACCTTAATTGCCAAACAAACATCTTCTTTTGTATTGTTTTCAGTTTTGTCCTCAGACAGGAGGATTTCTTAGTTTAGGGTTTTACTGTTTTGTTTTTAATTTACGATTTCGCGGGTTGTAGTATTTTAGCTTATTTATAACTTCAGCTACAGCTACGCTGGTGTTCTTTCTGTATGTATATACTCTAAATATACTTGTATAAATAATACTATAACTTATTAAGTTAGTATGTACGAGTGTCCTTTTTTCAATCTGCAATCAGCTGAAAATCAGCGCTAGGTACAAATCGCCCTCTTAATGCTTAAGCTGACAATTCCGATTTAATTCAATTGGTTCCTAGTAGTGCCTAGGTAATGGCCTTTTTGTACTTGTTTAAGTAAAAGAAATATGTAATGTTGTGTATTTAACTATCATATCTTTTTTTACCTTTGTCATTATACCTCAAAGCCCTTTTAAACATACCAAATTGTTTTCTACTTTTCAATGAAAATGTTACAATGGAATGAAAGGGAAAAAATTAAAACCTGTGGCATTGTGAGCAAAAGTCAAATCAGGTTCGCATACCTCTAAACCGAACTGACTTCTGCTAAATGTCCGAGCCCTTAAATGTACTTACTATATTACCTTCATAACTGTATAATCTTTGTGTTTTAATTCGGTTACCATGGCGTCTTATTCTTTGTATTTTATTTATTTGTTTATTCATTAAATTGTAAAATTGCAGAATTGGTGCCCAGGTCACATGGTTTTTATCTCCAGTGAATTTATATTGTTAATGTTAAAAATTATATTAACATATATGTATGTGTAGACAGAATGTGTCTGGTATATCGGTTGTAATTATCTCTGTGGCCTGAATGTATGTTTGGTAATCAGAATAATGTGATACTTTTTTAAATATTGCTGTTGTATATTCAAATCTATACAATAGTTTTACTAATATTATAATACTACATACTGATATCACAATGTCGTTAAGAAATTTTGCATATATACCGTAAACTCCAATTCCCAGAAAATATAAAATGGACGTGAGCGAAGCTTTCTGCAAAAGATAGTTTTTCATAAATTAAGATTTATTCTAATTTATATCTTACCATTAAAAATTAATAACAAAATAGGAAGTTGTAACAAATCCTATTTAGAAGTCTAATAAAAGCCCTAATAATCATGGCCTGTCAATCGTTGCTTAAAACTGGCATTAGGCAGTTTTAAGCAACGATTGCAAAGTGCTACTGGATAAAAAAGTCTTCGTTTTTTCATCATGTAGATATTTTTAAGTTCGACAAAACCCGTACCGAGAATCTATTAGGTTGAGATTTTACGGAATCGGAACTTTTTCTTTATAGCAACGATGGCCATAAATGTTTTTATGTCTAGTCTACTTGCTAGGAAATGACCTCACTTTTAAAAATAATCATCTAGTTCAACCAAGTTTTATGCATTTGTGTAGGACACACAAGTAATTATTTATGTGTATAAAGCAATTGCCATAATTTGTATTTCAATATCACCCTAAGCTAATAAGAATACTACCCAAAAAAAAGGAAAAAAAAATGGGTAGTTTTTTTAATCAAAATATTATAATTTTAGCAATAATTTGAGTTCGTGACGCATCGCTATTATTTGAAAAGCGAAACTTTTTATAACCTAACCTACTATTCTGGATACAGATTGTTTCTAATAGCAATTCGTTTTCTTGTGGGGTCGCAGTTCTAACCTAACGTACCTCACCTACTTTATATTGTAAAATATTTTCATAATTCTTTATGTTTATTCTTTATTCCACTTAATGTTTTACATGCCGTTTGGTTGAAAAACATTTATTTCTCAGAAAAAAGAACAATACAGTTCACTTAAATAATGAGAAAATGTAATAACACAAATAAATTAGTAAAGTATCTCTGTGATCACAATACACTATAAAGTAATATAAAACTAAAGAAATGAAGACAATTTTATTGGTGTCAGTACTTTTTGCTAATGTAATATTCTAAACTCTTTTCAAATTTAAACAATTGCTATCAGTTTTAGTAATATCGTTAAGTATTTCATTATAAAGTTTTACACCCTCATATAATATATTTTTCTTACCATAATCGGTTCTAGACTTTGTTACTTCTAGTTTTTTTATTACGTTTATGGATTAATCGTTAAAACCCTCACACCATGCCGTATGACACTATTTGCACACACACACACACATATTCATATTTCAATTCTACAAAGAAAAAGCTTTGTCTAATATTGTCATTTTTCTGTTGTCTAAACGTCTGTCGATTGTGGAGTCAGTTAGGCTATATAGTAGTGGTATAATATCAAAAAGATAAAAAGTCTTTGTTTTTGTACTTGAACTTACTAATTTTTGAAATTACTAGTCGAAAAAATGTTATTGTGTTTTAAAAGCTAATTCGTGAGGAAGTTTTGACATCATAGGACACGGTTAAAAATGCGCGGAACGTCTAGTGGTTCATATTATACATAAATTTGCATTGAAGCGAGGTTGTTATCGATGGTATCTTTAATAACTATGTCTTTGTTGGAGACCAGACAGTTTGACATTGGCACTTGAGGCCGAAGACCTTGCGTTATCACCGATCTTTTACAATAAAAGTATATTTAAATGTTGCGTATTCATATCATAAATAAGGTTAAGTTAAAAAAAATTAAGTCACCGTATGACAAAAATTAAAAAGTATCAATATTGTCCTGAAAACCCTGGTACCACGACGTACCTCGGGTCATCTACGGCTTAAAGATGACCTCCTCCTGTGTGGGAACCCCGATGTTCCGTTCCTGCCCCGAAGTAGCACGCCTCGCCGCCACCCGCTCGTTTGTCCTTCTATATCATAAAAAAAAAACAAATATACCCATTAGGAGGAAACCAGAGTAGTTAGGTGTCCACGAAACACTATATGATCTTATCTCACTGCAAAAGTTTGGATGGATGCTTGTCATTCAATCATGCAAAAATGTCTTAATGGATCTGGATGACATTTGACATAGAGATAGAATATGGTATAACACACAGGCTACATCATCCCGGAAAATCGACATTAACCCGAGACTACAGCTATGGGCGTAAGATAACCCGTCTGCTCGATTGCTTATATGCTTATGCCATAAAGAAAACTGTACCTTACGAGGATCATGGTCGCCATATTCACACATTTGTTAATTCAATTAACACTTACATACAAAAATAATAATGTGATTCTTCATTTACCCCTCTATAGATGTCGTGATGCTTCGAGTATCACGGTATTAAATGTTGATGTAAAACTATTGTTTTATTTCTTCTACCTATAATTTTTGAGAGTTTCTGTATTTATACATGCGATGAAAGAACTAGAATTTTTCAGTAATGCATTGCATACGCTCTTTAAAGTCGACCACGGGAGGTTTAGGGCATTAACAAGTAATACTAACTGAATGTAAGTAATTTTTTTATACTAAAACGAAAATTAATTTTACATATCCACATCCCCTTGGAATATGGAATCCCTAAAAGGAATATGAGTATTTAAAATCTATATCTCTATTAAAACTTGCGTGGCAATGTGGAATTAAATTTTGATATATTATTAATTGTCACGCAACACTCCAGGGATATCTAATATCATTACTACTAGATAATACTCGACAGGCCTGTTTTTTTTTAGTGGTTAGTGACCCAGACTACTAAGCAGGTCTTGGGTTCGATTCTCACCCAGGACAAATATTTGTGTGATGGGCACGATTATTGGTTCTATGCCTGAGCGTAATAATAATATGTATGTGCTAAGAAATATTGAAGTATGTTTATCATCAATCCGGTTTTTAAAGTACAGGCTATGCCTGGTGTGAGATTAGACTGCCCTGTGTGAGATGTGTGAAGTAATTGTTGTTGTGATGTCTGTTAAAATCAAATCAAATCAAAGTTTATTTGCTGTGAATGTAGATATATCAAATTACACGTGGAATGGTGTTAAATCTGCCACCATGAACATTCTGCCTTAAAACTAAGCATGCAAAAATTTATAAAAGTAGGGTTGATAAAAATTAAACTACCTAAATGTGTAATGAATAAGTACAAATAAAAAAACTATTAATTAATATTTTAGATTTCAATAGTATATAAACTAATATTAATATTTAATGTGTCAATGCTTCAGAATTATTAAATTCGAAGTGATAAGAATTATTAATTGAGATTACACATTTGTATCTATAAAAAAAAATCATTGATTGTGTAGTAACATTTGTCCATAAGCAAGGCTTTTAATTTATTTCTGTAAATTTCCATTACATCATTTTTAAGTTACTTTGATATATATTTAGCGGCTTACAGACGTCCTCTGCTTGGGGTTGCCAATTTAGTTTACTGTCGGTATATATGCCTAAAAATTTTGCAATTGTATTCTTATTGAATTCTTATCGATCTGAGTGGCGTGCAAGTGGAGAGGTCTATGTCCAGCAGTGGACATCGATAGGCTGATGATGATGATGATGATCCTTATTACCCTAGTTGATGAACAGAGGAGTGTATTCCAACAAAATAATCTGTACATCATCGTTAAATATCTTTTGTGCCATGCATCTTCGATGTAAAGAAATAGAAGAGAGACGAGAAAAGACTGTCTGGGTCTCTTATGGACTGTCAAAAGATTTGTAGAAATAATCTGAGAGTGATATAGGAATATTTTTTAAATACTGTTTTAACAAGCTATTTTCTTTTGTTATTCAGTTGTGTACTGCGACTACAATGGATCTGGCAGAGCTCTTCAATGGATAGAAGATTACTTGACAAGTAACGTACTGCCCACACACGCTACCAGATGCACTGGACTTTCGTATACGTCTGGGCAAAGTCAAATATACAGGTAAATTATTTTTTATTAGTTTAATAATTTTTTTACAAATACACATGCATTTGAGACATCGTTACGAGTATTTGGCAACGTACGTAACAGTGCGTCTTTTAGTGATGACCAGACAAGTTGCAGGATTCAAAGAAAGATTTATTATATGGAAGAGGGGGCAAACGTGCAGACCTGATGTAAAGTGACTACCGTCGCCCGTGAACAACAATTTAACAACGACTAAAATAAAATCAGATCCTCATAACTAACTTTTGAGCTATCGTGTTCCACAATATATAATTACGATAGCTAGGTAGGCTGAATCTCAGCCTATGAGCACGGCCAGAGCAGACTGTTCGAAGCGTCAGGCAATTTAAAGGTAGGTATGTACTTAAATACCTGCCGTATGTATGCCTGTAATACATAATTTTAGGTTCTCATAACGACTGTGTGTGCAGCATGTTCATTTAGGCAAACTTCTGCCATGGGGTTAATCAGTAAGTATGTATTTATTTCTCAACAGATCAGAATCTAAGTCAGTCATCAGGTCATCAGTGGGAGCGTGTCCAGAAGATGTGGCGGTGGTCGGTGCGACGTTGGTTCGGTTCCTGCGAGCTTTACGGCCTCAGAATACCATCTTGTTTGTATCGTCCAGGGAGACGGAGACACAAATATCACCCTGGAGGGAATATAACACTGAGGTAAGCATTTCTATTTAAAACTAGTTCAAAGCCACTGCTCCGCTCCTAAGCGTTTTGGGGTGAAGATAAATAAACTTGAAATAAAAGTGTATAAAGATTATAATAAAACGACGAATGCATAGAATATATTAGTTACCTTTGGTAAAGGTTAAAACATCATCAAGAAACAATCATCTAGAAATCGCGCAGGAGGGCTTTTATTTGATTCAAATCTTGCCCAAACAAAATACCAAAGCATAGCACGACTATGTGCACAACAACCTACCGTGTATTTTCCGATTATGCAATTGCAATATTTTTGTTTAATAACATCTATGCCAGCATAATAATTATGTGACAACAAACGAAATGTCAGATTGAATTCAATGTTGTCACGTCACTATCACAAAAAAGTATTAAATCAATGTACAGATTTTTAAATAACCGATAATGAGGGTTTTCTGAAGTGTTCCACGTGAGATGGCAGCACTGTAGCGTCAGGTCCAACCACCTGTCAAAACACATACACGATTTGAATTTTTCGATCATTTTTTTGGTTTATTCATTCTTAAAAACGTTACAAAAGGAATATTATTTTCTAAAATGCCACAGTGTTGTGCAGTGCCTATGTGTGCAAATATAACTTTTGCGCCTCTCTTTTTGAGCTCAATCTTCAGTTCGCCAACCTTTCTCTGGCCGTAATCTATAATAAACTCAATAACACTTCCAAATTCATAGAATTTCACTAAAAAAATTATACGTTCGGTAAGAATCTGTGCTATCTGACAGCTGTTTGAACCTGACGCATACGAAGCGCCGTCTGGCGGCAGAAAAAATATCGAAAACCCTCATTGGTTGGTTTTTGTTCGAAATTATAGGCGTATAGTTAACAGATAAAAATGCCAGTACCTACATAAATATTTCACATGCTTTTTTGAAGACGTAAAAATGCATATAGCTTTCTGCTAATACATCAAGTTACTAGGGTTTGCTGTAAGGTCTCAACATAGACTATAAAGGGAGGTGGAAAATTCCAATGATATTCAACTCAGAATGATGGACGTCGTAACGAATACTGAAATAGTGTATTCAACACTATTTCAGTATTCGTTACGACGGCCCATACCCCCTTTATAGTTATCTAGATCGCATTAAACTTTTTGTAAACGATCACAGATTGGACCGAGGTCCTAAAGGCTCATAATTTGACCGTACACGTTTATCAATATATTTTGTATTGTCACGCTTTTGTTCTTATTCTTCTATGGCTGTATTTTAACCTAGAAATAATTGTGTTCTAATAAACCTTAGAAGAATTTACTGAACCCAGATATTTAATAACTGTCTTCAACAAAGTGTTAACATATTAAGAGAGGATTAACTGACTTTTTGTCTTTAATTTTTCTTCTATTTTACTTAAATAAGACATCTCCTGCACTAGGAATGTATCTTGTGTTGCGAAGGACTGTATAAATATTCATGAAACGGACACAAAGAACACTCAGACTCAGAACTACAATTTCTAGATCATAAAAAGTGTTGTCCCTTGTGGGAATCAAACCTACAACACTCAGTGCAATAGAAAGCAGCGAGGCGACCGCTTAAACCAACACGCCATCCGTGTAGTCAAATGTGTCCGTGTCTGCACAATTTTCTATATAGGTTTCATCAAATTTATCATATCTTGATGAATCCTTACTATTTAATAGAAATAGTAATTAGATGAATTGACGTCATAGATATAATTTTGGGGAATAGAACGTAGAACAAGTTACATATATAACCGAATCAGTCGTCGTGGGACAGTTGGCTGCCGTTCAATATGGCCGCCGATGATCGTTACTAGTGTTAGTTGCGCATGGACAGAATTATTTATGAAGTGGAAGTTGTATTCAATAAAACATTGACTCAACTGCACATATGACGTAATAGTTTATTTTTTGAATGAAATCTCACTAATTCCTAAATTCCACTAATTCTAATTACTCGTATGAAGGACTGTCATACGATTTTGTAGATTACATATTTTTTTATTCAAAAAAATGTGTCTATCGATCCTAGCCTATAAATGTACGCCGTAGCACTGGGTCCCCGCCTTCTACAACCAATTTACCCCAGCTGCCCTTCTCGGGTCGTCAGTCTGTCTTACGAGAGGCCTACCTTTCGTTATGGTTTAGTCTGCCCCTCTAACATAAAAAAAACACAGTATAACGCGCATATCTATATTTCCTTCTGCTATATTTTGAAATCATAATGATAGTTTAAATAATAGAAATATATTTGAGTCTTCTCCCAAAGAGGAAGGAGGGTGGGTTTTGACTCCGGAAGTCAAAGTCTCGTTAAAAGCTCACACACTCTGTGAAGAGCAAGAAAAGAAATGCTAAGCAGCGATACCGTGGTATCACTCCGGTCGAGCCGGCCTGTGTGACATGGTTCTCTCACGACAGAATTAGTTATTTTTAATTGAATGAAAAAAAAACTACGTCATCGTAATATTTTCCACTCGTTTTATTCCGATAACAGTAGGTAGTATTACTAACAATTATTATACCTACTGCATTTTATTGTTTCGCAACTGCAATGTGTAATAAAGCATCCTTGACTTCGTAAGTTTTATAGCATGTGCATTTGTCATTCGATAAAATATATGGGATATAGGTACGTGGGCGCCGGCCAGACGGGAGCTGTGGGTATAAATCTCTTGGATTTAATATTGAATCACACGGTTTCATATTATTATGTAAATGACTTGAACTATAGAAGATTTATATTCTCTCGATAGCGTTTATTCTACACTAATTTCTACCAGCTAAAAAATGACATTCGGAGCAGGACCTGGAGAGGTTTAGTCTCTCCCTGTTTGCTAGGCCCGAGAACAGGCCAGGTACCTACCGCAGACGAATCAGGCGCCGGGTCAAGCGTAAAATAATTTTTAAATTCGAACCAGTAGAGTTCCTGAGATTTGCGCATTCAACCAAAAACCCTTCAGCTTTATAATATTAGTATAGATATCATTATCATCAACAGCCTTACTCCACTGGCTGGACATAGGCCTCTCATAGGGTTTTGGCCTACTATATCACGCTGGCCAGACGGGTTGGTACAGGGTTGGTTGAAGTTTTCCTTCTCTTTGTAGTTCTGTTGTCCTGCGTAGTTTGCTCTCTTATTCGGCTCTTAGGACACGCACAGGATAGATATAGTCTCAGTAATATTTAATGTAATCACCCATTTAATCTGTAGCTCACGTTTAAACACTTAATGTTCGCTCGTGTGTTTATGCACTGCACATTGGATGCGCCAGCCAACTATGTTTACGAACGGCAAGTTCCAATAGTTATCAACAAACACTATCATACTTTACACTATTTAATTACGTGATACACTACAGCGTTTATAGTACACCGTCTCGCATAACCGTGCATAATTGCCGAGCTGAGTTATAAACCGACATTTGTCATATATTTACAAAAAAGATAAGAACAAGTATTTTTCATAATATGAAATTTCAATTATGTATAAAGATAAACGGTTTTACTAACCATAGTCCTGATTAGTGTCGGAGTCGGCGGCATCGACGAAAAATACACTCGGGTAATTATTACTTATTTCACCGAGTTCCAGGGTAAAATAATCGATTATATTGGAGTTTTAGCTAATGATTGAAACTGCGTTTTGTAATAAAGTTAACCTTAGGATGATAGTTACTATCCTGGATTATGTGCTTGAAGTTATAGCCTACATTATTGACTTCTTTCTTGCTTCCGGAACCTTAACCTCTCTCTGGCACAAAGTCTTTATCATCCCATCTCCTAAAATTAATAATCCTTCACTTCCTGAGCACTACCGTCTAATCTCCAGCTCCTTTCTTATTAAAGATTCTTGAAGTATGCGTACACAAACAGTTCTCACAGTTCATCTTTTAACATCATCTCCTAAATCCAAATTTACGACTAGAAAAATCCTGATCGGATCGGATGGTCTGAACCACCGGTTTTAGTGGATAGTCCACTAGGTCGGCAACACTGTCTATCACAATCATTTATTGCGGAAAGAAAAAAACCTGATGAAAGAAAATGTTTAAGGTTCAATTGATGTCTATGTTCATCAAATTCATGTCATAATAATAACTTCACACACCTCGCACTCAGCAGTCTGATCCTAAACTAGTGGAAATTGAACCCACGACCACTAAGCAGCTTAGCAATCGGGGTCACTAACCACCATAAACAAACCTCCAAACCAGAACATGTCGAAAAAGTTTCTGAAATCAAATATTTGTTAACATCCATTCATATTATGACGTGTCTGTCTGTCTATAACCTTCTCACGCTTAAACCGTTAAACCGATTTAGATGAACTTTAGTATAGAGATAGTTAGAGTCCCGAGAAAGGACATAGGATAGTTTTCATCTCAGAAATCATACTTTAAATGGATGAAAAGGGGGTAGAATCAATAACCGCTGAACAGATTTTAATGAAATTTTGCATCGAGAGACTTTGATTCTTGAAGAAAGACTAGTTACTACCTAGCTACTTTTTACCACGATAACCGACATACACGTGGGTGGGCAAAAACTAGTTGTTTATTATTGTCATTATGACGGACGCGTCGGAGTAATAAATAACCGTTAAAACTCCCACAGTAAAATGATATTATTATGTATTATGTTCAGGTGTATTAATATGAAAACATCGTGGGTAGTACGCAACACAAAGAGATATGTAATAATATCCTTTAATATACTTGTCCTTTGTAAGGTTATTTGAAGGCTGAAAACATCTTAGTAAGTCATTATTTCTGAAGACTGAGGATAAGTTGATTTCATTTTTGTCTTTTTATCAATTCAAATAATCTTCCGTCATTACCATAAAACAGGATAATTTCGTATGTATGTACTTAGACCGATCGAGATATGACTAGGCAGATAAGGATATTCCGGCATTTCTTAATGTAGCCTATTTAATATCTGCCATATAGTTCCAAGCTTAACGTTTGGGAATTTGCCCGGTCATTTAAGCAA